TTAGTGTCTGCCCAGAAACGACGAGAATACGCATGGGCAATTTTAACGCGCGAGCGTTCAGAAAAACTTGTCCTTGGCACAGTTGACCCGACGAACGCTAGGAATTAATAACAAGTTACCAGCAAAAACCGAGCCCAAGCATTAAGCGTGCAAGTCATCTACCACAGAGCCACGCCATGTCTTGAAAGTAATTTTTAAATAGGCCCTATAATATTATTCATAAAACGGCAATTGTAGTTTACAGTGCTGGCTATCCGATATTATAAGAATAACATATGTCCCCCTATGAGACAGCCTTCATGTCGAGCTAACGTTAATGGTAGTTAGGTGCCATGCGCTGAAGTTGATTTATGTGGCAATGCCTAGGGTTACCATCTATGCGAGCGCCAGCACCTCATATCAGTTTATCGCTTCTGGTGTTGCTGATACTCGTGTTCCTGGTGGAATCATTGCGTAAGTGTAATCAACTGATTACATAATTATCTGCAACGCTTCACCTTGTGTGCTAGGAAGAACTATACATATCAATTGCATTATTTCATGAAGTGCAACTCAATAAGGATTTTACATGCCGGTCATATTTACTCCGCATGATTCGCATAATGTCGATACCCAAAGTACGTCGGATATTCTAATTCTTCTTTTTTGGGCGAAGCTTCTCATAAAGGCACCCGTTCGTTCCTCGTAGCTGTTGTAGTGTGTAACAAGTATAACATTTTGACCTCCAAGGTAGTGCCGGTGAAGATTTCTTCTGTGCGTTGTTGAAAAATAAAAGATAGTGCTCAATGTATAAGCCAATGGCTGCTAAGGGGAATGAGAGACAGGAGCATAAGGCTTTTAGTTAACGCGCATGATGCAATTCCCATTAGCAGCCATTGACATGTACATTAAGCACTGACAAGAAAGGGTTGCTACGTTATACTCGCTGAGTGTAACCTCCTTAGTTTTAGTAATGTTTAGCGAGCGTTGAGCCGCAGTGCCATGAATACAACGAACTAGTATTACCATGATCTCGATGTGGTTAAAGGTGGAAAGTAGACCCGAAGCGCAAGCCGTAAGAAAGTGTGCGTGTGCCACCTCTCGATTAATCCTTGGAATGTCCGCTGGATGGCGGTGCTGCTATATGGGGAATATATGATGAAAAGATGCGAGATGGTGGTACTTGGTGTGTTGAATAGATGGACGAACGGATGCACAGACAGATGCATGGATGGACGCATGAACGGACGCAGGGGCGGATGCATGGACGAACGCAGAGACGGACGCACGAACGGACACACGCGCGGACGGGCGGATGGACGCATGGAAGGTCACACAGACGGATGCATGGACGAACGGAAGCAAGAACAAATGGACCGACGAATGCTTCGCCCCACTCTCCATCATTCACTCCGTGGATATGCTGCCATTTTTTTCTTTGTCAGTGGTAAGGTCTTGGCTGCAAACGAGGAATTACGGGAGGAAGGTGCCACACACGCTTCGTTCGGGAGGACAAGCTTTCCTGGACTTATCGACCGTCGCAAGTATAAGAGGAAAAGTGTTTTATCAAACGTTGAACTAGTTCACATGATTGGTCACTAGAGACGAGTCGAAAATACACAGCCGACACCTCATTAAAAATCAGCAATATTTACGCTTTTAAAACCATTCTTCTCATCATTCTTTTAGGAAAGAAAAGCGTGCTTGTCTTGGGTAACCGAGACAGCCGGCTTGGGCTGATTAAGTTTTAACTTTTCTAGCCAACTCAATTGTTATATGCTTATTTCGATAGTTGTAGCAGTGAATAAGCGACTCATTCACGGGTGATAGAAGTAGTATGACACCAACATCGACATGAAATATTCATTGTTGCTACAAGAATGCGGAATCATTCAGACCTCAGAAAACACACACATGAGCCAGATAGCAAGATGACACATCATCTAAGGTGGCACAAAACGAAACTTCCGTTTTGTGTAAGTATGAAATACTTACACAAAACGACCATTAAAGTGATTTCCGCTTTTTCGTAAATTACTTGGTGGCTCTTATAGAAAATACTGATTGTATACCGCGTAAACCACTGTATTTATTATTTGAAAAAAAAAGAAACTACAGCTTGACACCTGTTCTGAAATACTCGTTCACAATGAAGCGTCTAAATAATTAGCCGTCATTATTTTTTCTTTGTGCAATATGATGTCACATAAAGAAGAATACAAGAAAATGACAGCATATCCACGGAGTGAACGATGGAGAGTGGGGCGAAGAATTCGTCCATCCATTCGTTCTTGCTTCCGTCCGTCCATGCGTCCGTCAGTGTGACCGCCCATGCGTCCATTAGCCCGTCCGTGCGTGCGTCTGCTCGTGCGTCCGTGCCTGCGTTCGTCCATGCAGCCGCCCCTGCGTCCGTTCATGCGTCCATCCATGCATCTGTCTATGTGTCCGTTCGTCTATCTATTCAACACTCCAGGTACCACCATCTCGCATCTTTTCATCATATATTCCCCATGTAGAAGCACCGCCATCCAGCGGACATTCCAAGGACTAAACGAGAGGTGGCACACGCACACTTTCTTACGGCTTGCGCTTCGAGTCCACTTCCCAACTTTAACCACCTCGAGTTTATGGTATATACTAGTTCACTGTATTTATGGCACTGCGGCCGAACGCTCGCTAAACCTTTCGAAAACCAAGGAGGTTACGCCCAGCGAGTATGACGTAACAAACTTTTTTCAGTCAGATAGTGCTCAATGTACATGCCAATGGCTGCTAATGGGAAATGAGAGGCGGAGAATTCGGCTTTTACTTTCTTACGGCTTGCGCTTCGTATCTACTTCCCATTTTTAACCACCTCGAGTTCATTCATGGTAGATACAAGTTCATTGTATTCATGGCACTGCGGCTCAATGCTCACTAAACCTTTCTAAAGCAAAGGAGGTTACACCCAGCGAGTATAACGTAGCAACCCTTTCTTGTCGGATAGTGCTCAATGTACATGCCAATGGCTGCTAATGGTGATCACAGCCTGCGCGTTAACTAAAAGCCGAATGCTCCTGTCTCTCATTCCCCATTAGCAGCCATTGACATGTACATTGAGCACTATTTTTTATTGTTCGACAACGCACAGAAGAAGTCTCTCACCGGCACCACCTTAAGTGTCAAAATGTTACACTTAATACATACTACGGGGGACGAACGGGTGCCGCTATAAAGAGCTTCGGCCCTAAACGGAAAGCCAGTTTTACTATTTTCATGGTGGATAGCAGAAAAAGCACGTTATCCCTGGTACCCATTCCAAACAGGTACGCCTTGGAAAAAATCGCAGCATATCCACAGAGTGAATGATGATGAGTGGGGCGAAGCGTGCGTCAGCCCGTCCATACTTCCATATGTCCGTTCGTTCTTGCTTCCGTGCGTCCGCGCGATCATCCGTGCGTCCATCCATGCGTCCATCCATCTGGCCATGGGTCCGTCCGTGAGTTCATTTATCCGTCCGTTCGTGCGTCTATCCGTCCGCGCATCCATCCATCTGTTCGTCTGCCTTCTAGTCTGACTGTCTGTCCGTCTATGCGTCCATCTAGTGAACACTCCAAGCACCCAATCTCGCATCTCGCATCCCCTGTGGTACATATCTGCTCCGTGCGTCCATCTATCTGTCCGTCTATCTGGTAGTCTGCCTGTGCGTACGTCCATGTGTCCGTCCGTGCGTACGTCCATGTGTCCGTCCGTGCGTCCAACTAGTGAGCACTCCAAGTACCAACGTTTTCTATCTCACATCCCCTGTGGCACATTCCCGTTCTAGAACGGGTATGTGCCACCGATAGCTACATACACCAACGGAGGATGGAGAAACCCACACTCTGAGGAGCTTCGCCCCTAAAGACCTTTACAATGGGTAGATCGGAATATCTAAGCAACCAAATTAAAATAATGATTTTAGGTTAAGTACGGGAAAAACTCATAGGTTTCCTTGAGTATTCGTCTCAGATTACTCGAAGGCAGGGGAAATCTTTTTTTAATCGGTGTATTTGATCCTTCTTCAGCCACTACGTTCTGATACCTTCCTGCCCCTCAAGTAGTATCGCATCGCCTTCAATACTGAATGAATTGCAGACTTTCTGTGTCTAAACTGTCTTCGCATCGCCTTAGTGAACGGACCCCCTCCCCCCCTTTTTTTTCTTACGATCTCTTCCTGTGGCGATGTTTCTTTTTACTTTTGACATTGAAGAGCGAATGCTTGGAAGAAAAAAATAAACTGCTTTGAAGGAAGACGCTCAACTTTCAATTGAGTTATTTCGGAAAGCGTCTCATCACGATAACATATGAGCAGGCACAGTCACACCAGATAATCATTCAAGCGAAAAAAGCTAAATTTGGTTTAAAAATGCGTTAACCACCTCCGATAGCATGAAGGTGGTAGGTTTAATCAGTTTATAGTTTTAACTGCGTGGAAAGAAGTTCATTTCCTTCATTGTCAGGTGCATTTAAGGTGCACTGATGCACGCTTCTGCGGATATCTTAATCTGTTCTGCCTTACGATATCCCTTTCACTCTTGCCCTTTGCCCTACACATGACGCCTGCCTACTGATAAAGTGCAATGCAGCCTCATGCACTGCATCAGGAAGATGCCTCATCATTAAGAACTATAACAGCAGATGAGTGCTCTCTAGGTCTATCATTAGGGCATCGGCCCGTTTGGCTGATGTAGGATTTACCACAACTGAGTGGTATGACGTCACATTGCGTGACTCCATGACGGCGTCATCACGCGAGGATCTTTCGCATCACTCGTGTGGACAGCGCTGACGTGGGACGCCACCGGTCAGTTTTTTCTGTGGTGAACCTTTCACCTTGATGCCTGTATTTTGTTTTAACGTTCGCTATTTCAGTGATAGTACAGAAGGATTACGTCAATGGAATTAGTCGCAACGCTTATTGCCAAAAAAGAATTACACTCAATAAACGCTCAGTATTGCATTGTTTAAAAGAAACCTTGCATGAAAGAAGCAGTACTCACGACATATCTCGTCTGTTGTGTCCCCGCAGTCATCGTATCCATCGCAGCGCCAGGATTTGTTAATACAGCGTCCGTTCTCGCATTCAAATTCATCGTGGGTGCAGTTTCGCGGTGCTGTTGTGAAGAGATAAAAAAAAGCCAGTTCATTTCTTAACCTAATTAAGCGTTCAGAAAAACGTTGACTCTGGTTGATACAAATACTTCGCTGTAAAATCGTTACAAAAATAGCTGCTATTTTTTGTACAGGTGACCATAGCAACTAGCTTTAACGCGTGATATCCGAAATACCGTATTACAAGACTAGACTTTTGTATACAATGACTTCTTTATTACGGCTGTATCTTATTCTATACTAAGAGCAACGTTTCATAAATCGTTCAGAACAGAAGGTAGGTAGAAGGAAGCTGAGAAAGCAGTTTCAATCTCCCAAGTTGAGTTTTGTGATACTTAAGTATTTGCTAGCTATGATGAAATGAATACTGTGACACTGCATCTATTCGTACAACTAATTTCGCAGCGTCCTACACAAGCAAAAGCATAGGGGTGGTGCAAGCCCCGTGGCTCGTTCCCAGTGGTCGACCCGATAAAGTGTTAAAAACTTTCCAGAAATTTTATTCTTATAGCGATTGAGAACATTTATCTTAGATTTGCTGTAATATTCTTATAGCCTAGATACATTTCCAGTGACACTTCAAGGAGTGTTGTAAGAGAAGTTCTGAAGGCAAGCCTATAGCACAACCATGGCATGAAAATTATTTTGGTTGCTGGTTTTCATGCTGTTTGCCACAAATTGTTGGAATCACGCTTGCTGGCGCTGCTCTTGGGACCAGTTCGATCGTATGCATAGACTTTCTTTTTCGAATGCGATGTTATAAATTTCATTCGCGCGCATGTCGTGGTTATTTCTCAAATATGGTTGATAATCAGCTTACATATATGGAAAGTTATAATACCAGAATTTCAGTGCCCCTCTTGTCCTATCTGAACGTTTTAATGCGCGTTCATTTTGTTTCTTCGGTCCGTGTGCTGTTTTACGTATTTATGACCACCCAGTGCGACTTCTCTGCGTATAATCCTGAGTTTCATAAGACTACGTTTCACAACGCCCACGTGTTCCATCGCGGGCTGGCTACCTGCAGAGGCATGCGTTTACTTCTTTCGGGCGCACTTTGTAGCGCAGAGTAAAAATTATGTTACGCTTTAGATAAAATTCAGTTAAACGAAATGACAGTGTACTGTAAAAAGAGAAGTGATTACAACTGCCTACCAACATTGAGATTTCTTCAGTTCATTTGTGCTCTCCCAACCACCACCCTCTGTCCCAATTACAGACACAATAGATCATTCATAATAATAGTTATTATAAGCCTGTAAGAATATTATGGTGCATAACTGGTGCATAACTGGCGAATGGTGCATAACTGGCAAATCACCTTTAATTGCGGTAGTTTCACAGTTGCATGCGTAGTTGCATTACGCATATATGATCTGATTTAGCGCCTAACAAAAAAAAAACTTCACGTCCAGCCGTCAGGAAGCTTAACTTCAACAATCCGCTGCGTGGTCTGGGCTTGTTTGACTGATACCAGCCGAGAATCGCTGGGCGCTGTTGGCAAGATAACACCTGAGTATGCTTAGATGGTATGTCGGCACGCTTTGGTAACGTGCTGCCAACAGAAAATAAAGCGACGAAGAGCTATAATCAATGAAGCTGTTTTCGGGCACACTGCGAAGCGTTCAGGTTAACCTTACTGACGACTGTACATAGCACCACGTAAACAACGCCTTTGAAAACCACTCTACCAAGAATCGTTTGAATATTGGGATGTAGTTTTTTTATGTTTACAATAATTACTGACTTGCTGCTAGTGCCAGCAAGGTTTGTATTTACGTATGCCTGGTCTGGTCTGCAGCGTTTCGTGGAGCATTGAGGCCTTTAAGCTAATGGTCGTCTCACCGCAGTCCGCCTCGTCGCTGCCATCGGTGCAGTCTTTGCTGCCATCGCACCATTGCGGCTTTGGTATGCAGCGACCGTTTTGGCACAGGGCTTCTTCCGGCTGACAGATGGGAGCTGCATAAAAAGACAAAGTGCTGCGTATGGGTCTGCCAGTGTCAGGGAGAAAAAGGAAGGAAGGAAAATAGGAGGAAAAGAACGGCAGGGAGGTTTACTAGCCTGTAGGCAACCGGTTTGCTACCCTGCGCATGGGAGAGGGATGGGGGAGATGAAAGATAGAGAGCAGAGAGGGAAGGGAGATAAACACGTCGCATTCGACAGCACACGCGCGCACGCTCAGTCTTGTCTTTCGCGGTGTGTGACAAAGCGCACAAACTGTCAATGCAAACAACGGAACAAGCTCGCACAAAAACAAGCCCTCTAACACCTCACTTTTGATGTAATGGAACATGCCTTAAACGCAGTAATGAGGAAACGAACCAGGGTCCATTCCCGGGACACTTTCTGGATTTTAGCATTTAAATTAAGCTCGTGAGAAGGGTGCCGAATAACACGTGGGAGATACAAGTTAGCAAGAGCTGCTGCGCAACAGAAACATTAGTGCGACACCCATAGCAGAACTGAAAATGATGACGTAATGAAGTTTGTCACACATGGAGTTTCGGAGGTCGCATCTATGTGATGTCCGTGTGGGTAGTCGGGGTAATCGAAAGGTGAGAAGCAGAACGAAGTGAGCTCATAGGCGTCACAAAAGAGAGGAGTAAGGAATGACTAAGAGGCCGTTATATTTGCGTGACACAAGAGTTTATCCCAATGAGAAGGAACCGGCGTTGACGAATTACATTAGTTGTCTTTGGGCACAGCTTTCGATCGCAAATACATCTATCTGCCGCACAAAGCCTGCTTGCTCGTTATATATGTATATAAGGGAAAGAAGTGTATACCTAAGGGCTCGTTTTTCCGTGTTTTGACACAATATTAATGAGATCTAATAGACAGTAATACCAAGGAATGTACAGGGGAAGTTATTAGAACCAATAGAATGTAAATAAGAAGAAAGAAAACTGGATGAAAAAATAACCAGCCGTGAGCAGGAATCGAACTTACGACCTTCGAATAACGCGTTCGATGCTCTAACCACTGAGCTACCACAGCGGCCTTCCCTCCATCCACTTTTTTTTGGTGGTGTTTATGTGTGAATTTAGAAGTAGGAGTGACAGTCAGCGCCACCTATAAGCCAAGCGACGAGTGTGAACCACTCTTTTATGCGCATGTTTGGCGTCACGTAGCAAGTGAACTCATTACGAGCGGGCAGCTGATTAATAGTCTCTCGTATACAACCTAATGACACCAAGTCTGCCAGTACGAGACCCTCGTTGAATGAAATAAGGGAAAGAAGTGTATACCTAAGGGCTCGTTTTTCCGTGTTTTGACACAATAATAATGAGATCTAACAGACAGTAATGCCAAGGAATGTACAGGGGAAGTTATTATTAACTTCCCCTGTACATTCCTTGGCATTACTGTCTGTTAGATCTCAATAATATTGTGTCAAAACACGGAAAAACGAGCCCTTAGGTATACACTTCTTTCCCTTATTTCATTCAACGAGGGTCTCGTACTGGTAGACTTGGTGTCATTAGGTTGTATACGAGGGACTATTAATCAGCTGCCCGCTCGTAATGAGTTCACTTGCTACGTGACGCCAAACATGCGCATAAAAGAGTGGTTCACACTCGTCGCTTGGCTTATAGGTGGCGCTGACTGTCACTCCTACTTCTAAATTCACACATAAACACCACCAAAAAAAGTGGATGGAGGGAAGGCCGCTGTGGTAGCTCAGTGGTTAGAGCATCGAACGCGTTATTCGAAGGTCGTAGGTTCGATTCCTGCTCACGGCTGGTTATACATTCCATTGGTTCTAATAACTTCCCCTGTACATTCCTTGGCATTACTGTCTGTTAGATCTCATATATATATATATATATATATATTGGAGCCTCACCTGCTGACAAGTATTGTGGAAGCTGCCGCGTTATCGGTACTCAGTTGTATAAACTATCGATAGAAACAGTTATTTTTCGTTTTTTTGTAAGCGTAAAACTTGCATTCGCAGGCCTAGCAAATGCGCTGAACTTCCGAGCGGACTCCATCGCCAGCACAGCTTGGTTGCAGAGATATAGAGTAGGTATATACACGCATAAAAGAATAATAGCTTGAGTGATCACATGATTTATTCAGCTTGCTTTTATGAAGCTGTGTCGGTGTTTGACATAGAAGAAAAAAGAAGTTCAGGTAAGGGTACATATATTATAAATTGGTGACGCTGGCCTGAGAGCAGCCAAATTGAGTCCAAACTGCCAGCTTTTATATCTACCCGCCTGGCTGGATGAATACAAGCCTGAGCGTGTTGCCAGGCCCCCTATCGTCTCGCTCGAATTTGTCGACTTCACCGAACGCATCTTCTAACAAGGTTGTCCTTTCAAAGAACCCACGCCTAGCAGTAAAAATATACAAAAAGAAGCCCTCGTAAGGCAAGCACTGCGACAGTGAGCGCAGCTTTACGCACTTAGCTGCATAGTGCACTGGTTCTTTCAGGCGCTTAGAAGCTGGAGCATGTGCTTAAATTTATGAGGCGCAGAGTGCCTTTCGACAGGGCCGTGTAACTCGACGCAGAAGCGGCCTTTGAATAGTGAAAAAGAAGAACTGTGTGACGATCGCGGCGATTGCTTTTTTTTTTTGCAAGTTTGTCAGCACATTTATTGTTTTGTACCCCTTTGTATAGTTTTTCACATCATGGACTCTAGATTGCGTTACTTCTTGGTGGCTGCGTTCTTCCATGGGTGACCATGCGATGCGCTAGTTCTATGCAACATAATTTGTGATGACATCGTATTTCTTCCTATACGCCAGTGCTGTAGATGTCCGCTTAGCCAAACATTTCGTGTGTTGTATTGTCCTGAGACGAGACTGATACGACCGGCAACTAAAGCATTTAAAGCAGAAGCAGTTAACTGTAACGTATTGGTGAACATATTCTGAGAGGTTTCTCCGTGAGAGCTAGTGAAAGAAAGGAAGACAAATCAGCTTTCATGCACATTCACTGCAGTTGACCGCGCTCAATGCATCAAACTAATACGCCTACGACAGTATGGCCCAG